AATAAATTGAAAACTTTTATAGAGAAAAATCCGTATTTTATTAATAAATTTTGACATTGTTGCATTATTTCTGATTGTCACTGTATATTGAAATATAAATTCTTAGCTTTATTTAAATATAAAAACAAAAAATATTTATTAATTAAAATAAAAATTTCTTTATAAAATGAAAATTTCAACTTTTACTATATTTTATTATCAAAATTTTTATATGCATGGTGATTTATAGTAGATCAGTGTACAATTTTTATTATATCAATATCAAATCTGTTGATCGGACCATTTAACAGCAATAATTAATATCAAGGAAAAATTGTTGGAATGCAACGTTTTTTATAATTTATAACCGGATCAAAACTGTCGAAAAATTCGTTCCTTCTTATGCACATGTTAAGATGCCAATCAAGGCAGGCTTAGACTCTCCTTTTCTCAGGACCTTTCTATAAGTTCAAAAAAATTATTTAGCGTTCATTCAAAAAATCGAACCCGTCAAAAGAAATAAATAAGCAGGTAGTCTTACAGCCAAGATATCACTGAATTCTTGGTATGGTGACTGCTTAAATTTAGTTTCCTTCCACAAATCAGGCGTCAAGAAGGCATAGGTGTTGCCGATTGCCGCAAAAGTAGCCTTTACAAAATTGCCCAAAGTGCGTGTAGAACCACGTGACGTGGTGTAACAATCGGTAATACCTGCTAATTGTAGAAGCTTCTTTGGAGTAGGAGCAGCTACAATGCCAGTACCGCGAGGAGCTGGAACAAGCCGACAAATAACTGAGCCACATCTTCCAGTTACTTTTGATGGTACTGTGTGTGGTTCACCAAGATTAGAACCCCAGTAACCACGACGAACTGGGATGACAGAGAGCTTTGCAAGAATGATTGCTCCACGTATAGCGGTGGCGACTTCTTTTGAGCACTTCACTCCAAGACCTACATGTCCATTAGAATCACCAATTACAACGAAAGCCTAAATTTTTTTATTAAATAACTAAAAAATTGTGCTCTTGTAATATTATAAGGAAACATTATTAAAAAAAAAAAAAAGGTTAATTAACCTTAAATCTTGTCCGTTGACCCGCACGAGTTTGCTTTTGAACGGGCATAATTTTCATAACCTCATCCTTCAACTTTGGAAGAAAATGGTCTACTATTTGAAATTCCTTGATTGGAAGAGAAAACACGTATATTTGTTCAATATCTTGGATTTTGTTTTCTTTTACAAGACGACCAAGTTTGGTTACAGGGACCCTAAATATATCAATAGAATTAATAATAAATTAGCAATGATCTGATCTGTGAGATTCTTACCATTCTTTTTCGTCATCTTTGCGAGCACCGCGACGTCCACGACCGCGTCCACGGCCGCGTCCTCTGTCACCGCGACCACGTCCAAAACCACGTCCTAGATGAGTAGAATACCATAATTAATAACAACATTAATAAAAAACATGCACTCTTTGTTAAATACCAAAGGATATCGATTTCTCGATGTTTTCTTTGGAAAATATTATTGAACTAGGTCGCGCACTCCTTTTTTAAGTTCACAAACTTACCACCACGACTATCGGCCGTTCCTGAGTCAGCCATTTGCTAAAATGTAAATACACGAGAGGAAAAGACAAGCAGGCGTATTAAAGAAGTTGTAAAAGGTAACACGTTAATAGAAGATATTCATCAGATCAGATTGATTTATTGAACGCTTCCCGAAGGAGATCCAACGCAATTTAATTGAAATGTTTAGATGGATTGATACTCACATAATCTTTTAAGTTTGAATTGACCTTTTTTTGGTGGAAATTCGAGAGGAGGAATGAACAATTTTATGAACCCTAACTTTATGTGAGTCACAACCCTGATGTGTCACTCCTGATTGGTAATTGTAAATTTGATGATGCCATTATAAGAAATCTAAATTATATTGTGAGAATAACAATTTTATGTAAAAATCAGCCACCATATATCGATATCGATACTTTCAATGACCATCAAATAAATTTTTAAAGAATGGTATAACTATTATCGGATGTCAATTAATTAGTGCCTCTTAATAGAAAAATGATCACTGATATCGAGAAAGAAATACAAAATAAATGTCAAAATCTTCAGATTCCAAATTATTTAAAAGATGATAATTATGAAACTGGTAAATTGTTTTCGATCTCATGGCAGAAAATCAACGAAATCATTAACATGAAATAATTTTTAAAAAAGATGCCGAATTACTGCAAAAAGCAACTTTATTCGCATTGCGATCAAAATCGATTTTTGAGGATATTAGAAAACTCTTCAAAGATATAAAAAATAAGAATGATGAGGAAGATGGGAAGGTGGAAATAGTTATTGCAGACAAAATATTGCAGGATCTAGTGTATACATGTTGCACTTTTATTTCTGCAAAAGAATCTTGGGCTGACTCGGAGTTGAAAAATAAAGCAAATTGTATGAAACTTTTTATTCTTTTATTTAAATAAAAGCTTTTAATATTAATTCTAAGTTTCTCACTCAGTTGTTTTAGAAAGTATTACATCTCTAGATCCAAAGCGTTTTCCGTCCGTGTCACGACTAGTACAAATCTTTGCAATAAAGATCTTGGAAAGATTCGTAAAACCATGTTTTTTGCAAAATTCCGAATTCAACAAAACCGGTTCAAAGGTAAAAAAATCGCGTGAGAAAACTGCAAATAGCATCGACGAGTCAAAACGCTTAGATATTAGTTTGGCTGCGTCAGCATTGGAGTGGATTGTTGTGCAGATTCAGGTAATTTATAATATTCTGAGGAATAGAATAATAATATAAAAGATTTACTTGTTAAACTTTTTTAAAAAAATAGCATCCCGAACTAGATACAATGATTGGCCTAATTATTCCGCCAATGTTAACTTTAATTGATGACTATAGTGTAAAGTTTAAGATTCAAGGCACGTCCATTCTTGATCACCTCTTAAAACAAGTGAAACCCACCATTATACAACGTATGGGATTGGGCAGTATTTTCTTTGAGGTTATTATATATGGCACAATACAAAATTTTTAAATAAGCAATTTCTTAATTATTTGAATTAAAATCGAAATTTTCATTAATCATATAGGCATTAATAGCTTGCTTAACATATCAAAGCGAAGAAAAGTACATACCTTTATTGCGCACAAGTTTTTCTGCTATTCTCAATCTCATACCATTAATAGAGTCATCAAATCTTAAAGAGCAACATGCTAAATTCGAAAAGGTTTTATTTGATCATATTATCCGAGGAATAATCTTCGCGGATGATAGACTTTCAATTCGTAAAATATTGTTAGAACAGGTCCCACCTTTTACGGATGCTCTTGGAATTGTCGCGGTTAAATATTTAAAAGTTTGTTGGACGTCAATCATTATAATTGAAGTATAATGATCTTTTTGAAAATGATGTAGTCATTTACTATTCTTATCATTTGTTGTCAATTAGCATTTGATTCCGGCTATTAGCAATATTTTAGAAATTCCACTTGATATACCAGGTAATAAACGAATTCTAGAATTGCATATTACTGCAGCTATTGCTTTTGAACATATTATCACGACTTGTTGGCCAAGGTATATTATCTTCTTTTCAATATTTATTATCGAGTAGAATATCTATTATCGAGTAACATTATATGAGTTCTAATATTGTTGATTCTCAGGATTCCTCGATATGAAGGCCCGATCCTAAAAGCAATAGTTACTTCTTGGAGTCAAACGATTGCGTTCGAGAAAAACGGTAAAAAAGCCATTTCATGTTTATTGATTCTCGCCGCTTTCTTTAATAATATATTCGACTAAATAATCAAATAAATAATCAATTAATCATATAGAAAAACCAACTGATAATTCCATAAAGCTTAAAGAAACATTACAAAACTTGTGTCGATTACTTTCGTTTGCATGCAATAATCATCCAAATTTTCAGAATGATTGTCAAGTGTTACAAAAGCTAGACCCTGATGTATTTAATCCATTGTTCGATCACATTTGTTTAGAAAGATAAAGAGATTGAATGTTTTATTTGTATTTTTCTGAGAGAAGAGATAAATACTCGAGAGTACATTAGATATATTTATTGAGGATAAATATACATTTTATTCTTTATCTATTAAGAAATGAAAAATACGATTAATTAATTAAAAATTAATTTCAAAGACTTGAAAAGAGAAATTGGTTACAATTTGTGATGTTTGACAGTGCAGTGCGATGCTTTGTTGTGCTGTGCTTCTTATATTTGGATTGGGTACTCTTCTTATTAGAACTTGATTCCATCCATCCAAATGAATTCGTGAAAGGATCACCCTGACGTAATTTACTGCATAAAAAGAGAATAAATGTGAGGTATAATAGTCTACAAAAGTAATAATTCATTAATTAGTTACCTGCGAAGACTAGGTTCAGCATAACTGACTTGTGTTTTTCTTCTCGAACGAATTGGTTCTGTTATGGAATGAAAAAATGGTTGAACAAAGCTTTTTTTACAAAATTAAATAAATTATATATTTTATTGATACCATCGTCGCTAACTGATACAGATGACCTGATGTTTGAATCCGTTGGCTTTGATTTTCCCTCAGTCTTTTTTGTCGTGCTACGCGAATCTTCTGGTGATTCCGTAGATTTTCTTATTGAATTGTTATTGACGCTAATATTGCTGACACCATTAATTATTGACCCTTGTCTTATATATGAATTGGTAGCGGTTGTTGTTAGGGGTTTCTTTGTCATATTTATATTATTAGACTCTGAATCTGATTGAGAAAATAAAGAGGGTGAATTATTAGATTCTATCGACATCAATTCAGTCAATTCGGGGGAATCAACTTGATAATGCAATGATTGGTGACGACGAGCAGGATCTTGGAATTGTTGGACTTGTTGAATTGATGATAAACGATGCTGGAGAGGTGGGGTATCAGATTCGAATTGTCGAGGATACTGAACGGGTGTATTTAAATTGATCTGAGAGGAAGAATTCATCTCGTTATGAGTAAATAGAGGTGAAAATTCGCGTCGAGATCGCAAAGTATTTCGTGGTATTATTGAATCACGTTGAAATGCTCGAGATTCATCGCCAAGAGTATTGACATGATAATTTAAAGAATCTCTAATAGTAAATATATCAGATAATAAGCAATCATCCGGTAATATAAATAGTTGGATATAATTAATTGATTTTTACGTACATATTTACTATGGGATCCTCCTTCTCGAAAGAAGTTTCCTCTGGTTCATCTTCAATTGTTGATAATTTATTCGTTATCATACGATATTGTTTCAGCTATACCAAACATGAAATAAAATTAAACAGATTTTTCTCATTGCTATCAAGAGAATTTATTCGATACTTTACGAGATTAACTGGTTTTCTTCTATCTGGTATCTTTTCAGCCCATAAGTCTAATTCCGCCGGAGTTATGCATTGATAAGCTATTGAGTTAGCACAAGATCCCTCGTTGATGATATCTTTGGAAATTAATTCTAAAAATTTCCGTATGTTAAACAAATTGGCTTTTTAAGAATCACTAAATTTCCGTAAATTATTTTCACCATCATTATCAATATCTTCATCATCTTCATTTTCAAGCTTCTGAGAATCAAATTCCACTAGAGAATTTAAAGAATCCGCGGCGGTACGAAGTTGATTGATAATATCCGCTATTTGATCACTTTTGGCCTATAATAAGAAAGTACAATTAGCCTATCTAACTCATCCAACTCGAAAATTTATTTAATAAATTCCTTAAGTGAACTCGGACGACTATTATTCACAGGATTCCTTTTATCGCACTGTAATCTATCAATTTGGTCATTCAAATGCGCGATCGTTGCTCTCAACTCGATATTTTCGATTGAGAGACGTGAGATTTCTACTTCTGCCTTGCGCAATTGAATCGCGTATAATGTGTTACTTCTGTTTTAATTGAACACATCACCCAGAATCAAGGATTAATTAATGAAAGATCTTTGCAAAAAAATTAGGATTTTCGGTCATTATATAGTTCAATATTACTTTATTATAGCACGATTTTGTTTGATATGTTTACGCTTTACTAGATTTATATAAGTGGATGTTTTGACAGAAAAAATTAAAGATTAATTAAAATGATCGAGAGAAAATCTAACAAAGGATTTTCGCTATAATAAATACTTGTCTCTAAAGTTTCCATGATGCACAAGTAAATATGAGTTTGGTAAATAATGAATAAAATAACTTTAATGGATAAATATTGATCAAAACATATATCTTACTTTGGATAGTTGATATTATGTCAATAACCGTGTTTCATTTATCTAACAACTCTCCGACTCCTCTGCTCAAAATCCAGAGATTAAAATCGATATTAATCTTTTTTCAAATAATAATAACCATTCTATAACATGAAGATAATCAAGATAAAACAGGAATCTTTTGTGTTCATTCATTATTTTACAAGCTTTGAAAGATAAAGCAATTTTTAAAACATATTTAGTGGTAATAATAAATCTAGATACTCTCAAATTTTCAGCAAATTTGGTACAAAAATTTCAAAATGCCTCAAGTTACCAAATTAATGAATTTGAACATAGATGAATTTTTCCTGTAGGAAAATAGCTGACATTTAAATAATAAATATTAAACAATAGAAAAATGTCAAAATTTTGAATAGATCAAATAATATATCATTATATCAAGTATCATCATTATAACAAATATCATTGTTAAATTAAATTAAAATAAAATAAGAAATACTATAATTGATTGACAAACTTTTTTTATTGGCATTTGATTATATTGTTTGGTTCAATATTATGGAGATGGTGCAATAATTATGGATTTCATTGTACTTTGCCTTTTCTTTATGTATTGACTTTATAACGTAAAAAGCTCGGACAAATAAAGATTGTTATTTTAAAGAAAATAGGTAAAAAGAAGCGCAAGCAACAACAAAGATTAAAATAAGATGATGTGGAATACAAGTAGTCGCTAGATAGATGGTCAAGTAGGGAGAGAGAGTAGCAAGTAAATTAACTTTTGGTTGTCTTAAATAAGTCGTAGTAGTCGTCCATAATTAAAAAAACTAGTTGCACAATATATAAAAGAATGATTAGATAGATTGTGATTAAGCATACTCCAGACCGATTAGATACTCGCTGCCCCAAGGCATGCCCCAGCCTTTCACACTGATTTTCTTCCAACAGATACGTGGAATGCCAATATCAGCTAGAAAAAGCTCGCCGGTCACTGAACGCGACTTGCAACCAGTTTTTGGGGCACCAAGACAAAGTGTCCATTTTGGATGAATGTAATGTGCCGTATTGCCAGGATTACCTTTGAATAAATAAATATATAAAATTAATTTTTTTTTTAATATTTCAAATAGATTGCATTGAATCTTTATACGTATTTACTTACCAGTATTCCCATTGACACCACTCGGCATATCTAAACTTAATACAGGAGCTTTATTGACATTTGCCCATTCCATCAAATCGCAAATTAATCGTCTTTCATGTTCTTCTGAAATATCACGAAGTGTGAATTGATAGCCAAGCAAAGCATCCACAATTAAGTCAACGGGATTTGTAAATTGATGCGGAAGTTCTAATTCGACAAACCTTTCATTTAGAAATAAAATAATTTAAGCATTACAATTGATTTATTATTTTCACTAACCTGCTACACTTTTCACTATTTTTCCTCCAGTCGGCAACATTATTTTTTGTTGATACGTGATGCTCTATGATTTATAGCATATTTAATGTAGAAAAATCGAATCTCGATAAAATAAATATTATTGTTAGGTACCTTAAGTAAATCTCTTTCTTTTCCAACTACACAAGTGATGACATGACAACCATGATTTGCTAAATGCCGTGCGGCTGCAAGACCATATGCTCCAGTTTTGTTATTTCCAGCAAGTATCACTACGAGAGGGGCAGCATTATGATTTTGTGGTTGTATACGTCGAGAACCACCTTTAAACATCAATGCATTAATATTTGCTCAAGAAGCTGTTTAAATCTATTATTACAATCGATAAGAATATTACCTAGTGCCTGCAGGCACATCATAGAAGTGCTACGCCCAGCATTTTCAATCATTTGGTCTTCATTTGGGCCTGTTTCAGTTGCTAAAATTCAAAATACGCAAAGTAATAGAATATACACTTAAAACTGATCATCAAATTAAACTGATCATTAAATCACAAAATGAAATAAACAAATCAATGAATATTATTTACTTGCTATTCTTTCTACCTCAACCATCTGCGCGGGTTGGACAGTTGGGCATAAAACACCGGTAAGTGTCCTTATCCGTACATTTCTATGAGATCCAGTGCCATTTATATTATTTTTTTTCCTCCAAGAGTCATCAGAATCTACCTCGCCATCATTGGCGGTTTCATCCTCTTCGTCAGTATGATAAAAACTGGTTTTACGATTCGAAGGCTCAAGTACATTCTCGTGTGATGCGAGTCTCTGTTGTTGCGCTTGTACCGGATAGCGACCATTACGATTATTGTAATTTGGATTCCGATTAATATTTACTAAAAGGTTCTCTGGAGCAGTAGAATCTAATTCCTACGAAATGCAACAACCACTTTAATAAGAAGTACTAATTGTAAATTAATAATAAAATAAATATGCTTACTCTAATTTCAGCAAAAACTTTTTCTTTGTCAAATAAGTTCAAATTGCCCTGGAAATCAAATTCTTCCGATTTAAATTCGTTTACGTCTTCTCCTGCCCATTCATGTTGAATCTGCTGACGACGACGACGTCCATTCCTTCGAGCTTTATTTATGAATCAACACAATGAAAACATATAAGTATATTTTTGGGTACATTAATGATATAACGAGTGATAGTTACCTGGTGATCCGCGTGAATTATAATAGCCATTTACATTATTAGATTGCTATAAATTTTATGCGTTCTGTAAATAACATGAATAATAAATTTTTGGTAATTTCAATGAAATTACCTTTTTTTTTGAGGCTCTTTTATGATTATGCATCGTCCCATCAGACTCAAATCCACTCGACTCTATTCCATTTCCATTTGATAAATGTTGCTTGGAGTTTATATACTGTTTTGGACTATCTCGCTCATCTTCTTCATCCGGTTTGGATTCACTATCACCTGTTGATCCTGTCTTTACAGATTGAACAACGTCATAATTATTGTCTGGTAGTATTTCATTTGACCGTTGCCCGCCCTTTGATAATAATAATTGCTAATATGATAAAAATATAACATATTAAGCTTTTTTTATCAAAGCGAAAAACCATTAAGAATAGAAACAAGCGTTTTTATAAGTGATCGGTCAAAAATTTTTGATGAATAATAATTCTTAATTTACCGAGAGATATGTTGGAGATGACCTTAACATATCGAAAAAATCGAATTTGATTTGTTTAAAGAAACGATTTTAGCGAATGAAAACGGAGCCCTCTTTTTTGAGGGAAATTGCACAAGATAATAACAATCATGTACCTTGGTTGTTGGACATACGGAATTGATGAATTGTTATTTGTTGATTTGGTGGGTAGATGAGAAAACTATTCGATCGAAATCAGTTGACAGAAACTTAATATTAAAATGTTCAGCGGTTTAATCTAAAAAGCTTAAAACGAAAATTATATATTAACCGATATAATGGCTGGATCTGAAAACGGTGATCTTGGTAACGTTTTGCTTGATTGCCCATTATTCTGAGACGTGAAAGGGTTTGAATTATTAATTTGCGTGATTGCCACACCGTTGCTAAGTTTTTTGTTTTCAGCAGAGTTTCTAAATTCAGAAGTTTGTGCAGATATTTGTGATGGTGGTGGTTTCGATGTCGCTGTTGTTGGGAGGATAGATAGATCTTTGATATCTGCTCCAGCAACGCCATAGATTGCTTGCTGAATTGTATGACCATTCAAATTATAAGTAACTAAAAATTAAATGCATTTAAGATTATATTTTTAATGCATGTGCTCTCCACGAAAAAGAAAATAATTGATTTTTTTCGACCAACCATTTTTCAGGGTTAATAACTGAGTATCCTCGTTGATATGTGAAACGGTTCCCTCTACCCAAGAGTTGTCACCAAGTACCACATGAACATCCAGACCTATAAATGCTTCTGCCATTGACACGATACGCTTTTTCTGAGCTTTATTTTTGAATTTTTTCTTGCCACTTGCACAACAGCGGAAATTAAAAAAAAAAGAATGACTAACAAAATAATTATCAAAAGGGGTATTCTACTTGTATTCACAATGCCTATTAATACACGGTGTGTTTAAACAATTACAAAGAGTGTCTTTTGCTCGGGTGCACAACGGCTGAGGTTTATTTTAGTTTACTAGAGTGAGAAAGTTCAAAGTAAAGAAGTAAAGAATGAATAATTATCGAGTATTTCTTATATATTTGTATGTAGTAAAAAGATGATGATCTTTTCAACCGAAAAATCCCATGATATTGAACATGATGAAAATTTTGATCTTCAAGTTCGATTCTCGCGTACTTTGAATTTTCTTGTCTTTTGGATTTTCTGTCTTGATAATATGGCACAGAGGACGCACAAACGTACACGACTAAATAGCAGCAGCAATATAAATATCAACACTGCCAACAACTCAATAAATCACCTTCCAGTTGTCTTGAATTCTTCTTCAATACCTGCACCTGTTAGCCAAACTGAAAACACGTTAGGCCTCGCAACAAATACCTCTAAGGAACATTTAATATTTTCTTCCAACAAGCCGTTAATCGGCCTGCAAACTAATGTGTCTGAAAGTGCTGAGAAGTTGGGTTTAAAACCACCTCCCAAAAAGTTAGTTATAAGACCTTTAAAAGGTAGAAGTCATTTTCACGATGCAATTTTATTCAGTACTATTAAAAATAAGTATAATCTCTGTTTGTTTAATAATAGAAAAACCCAAATTACCGGATAACTATGAAGAGCTTACGTGGGTCAAATTGCAAAGGGCAATTAAAGCAATTCATACTAGCCAACCTGCAAATGATAGCCTCGAAGAGTTGTATAAAGCTTGTGAAAGTCTTTGTCTTCATAAAATGGCAAATTCTTTATATGAAAGACTTAAAAATGAAATTGAAGTTCATATTATAAACGAACACGCCAAGCTGCTGAGGTTTGATTTCTTTACATGTCCCGCGTTTTATTCGTTTAATAAAAAATACTGCTGTTAATTTTAAGATTCTGTTAGCAATCCAGCCGAAAATGATATCTTTCTATTATCGATCAACCAATTATGGAAGGATCATCAACAACAAATGGTAATTTATTAATGAATATTTACTTAATTTCTGTATTTACAGACTAATAAGGCGCGTAAATTTTAGGGATTGATAAGGAGTATTTTCTTATACCTAGATCGTACATATGTTCTTCGAAATTCAGGAATAGCATCATTATGGTAGACAAATTTTCAAACTTTCCTTCATCAATTTCTATTTCACAAATTTTAAGAGGTTTTATTGATTGACCATAATAAGGGACATGGGCATCGATTTATTTCGAAAGCATATTATGTCTCCAACTGGCCCGTTAAGACAAAAGACTCGTGAGGGATTGATAACTCTGATTACAAAGGAAAGGTACTTGAATCTAATGAAATCCTTCCAATTAAAATCGACTATTTGCTCAAATTGTAAATATACTAGGGATGGTGAATCCGTTGACCGAAGTCTTCTTCATTCGCTCATTCGGATGCACATAGATCTTTCTATTTATAACCAAGCTTTTGAGAGTTATTTCTTGCAATCTACTCGAGATTATTACAATAAAGAAGCTCAACGTCTATTAGAAGTGATGGAGATTCCTGAATATTTGCAACATGTTCAAAATCGGCTGGAAAAAGAAAGTGAAAGAAACAGAGCATATTTAGACCGTAAAACGAAAATACATTTAATAAAGGCAGTTGAATCTATGTTGTTAGAAAATCATTTAGATTTAATACTGGAAAAAGGTTTGATACATAGAATTGTGGAATTTTTTGTCCATTTTGAAATAGCAATGGTGAAAATAAATTTATTATCAGGTTTTCCGGAGATGATGAATCATGAACAACACAAATATTTGGCTCTACTTTATGATCTATTTCAACAAGTATCTGCTCTTGACTTGTTACGTACCAGTTTTGGCATATATATAAAGGTAATTTCTTCATATTTGGATTTGAGATATTTTCTTGTAATAATTTTGGCTCTTTGCTTATCTTATATTTGCTTTTGTTTTTTTTTAGAAAACTGGAACTGCGATTGTCACAGATACTGAGCGTGATCCTCATATGGTTGAAGATTTATTGGATCTTAAAGGAAAATTGGATGAAATAGTTTACAATTCATTCCGTAAAAATCCAATTTTCCTCAATACATTAAAAGAAAGCTTTGAGACTTTTATTAATCAACGTCAAAACAAGCCGGCCGAGTTGATAGGTGTGTACTATTTATTTCTAATGTTTTTGTCAACGATTTGTTGGCAAATTTTCTAAACTTAAAATTTTTTAGCCAAATACCTGGACGCTAAGTTGAAGGCAAATAAGGGTATGAATGAAGATGAAATGGATCAAATTATGGATGATGCACTACTCTTGTTTCGATATATTCAAGGTAAATACGATAATATTTTGAATTCTAAAATTTCACAATAAAATCGTATAAGCTAAAGATGATTTATTCTTTTCAAAAGGGAAGGACATTTTCGAAGCTTTTTATAAACGTGACTTGGCAAAACGTCTTCTATTAAATAAGAGTGCATCGAAGGATGCTGAAAAGAGCATGTTACTGAGATTAAAACAAGGTGTTTAAAAAATTCTTGGAATATAAATTTTTATCCAATGGTTATGACGGAACTGAAAGGAATATAATTTCCCCAAAAATAGAATGTGGAGCAGGATTCACAAGCAAACTCGAGGGTATGTTCAAGGATATAGATCTATCGCGTGAAATAATACGGACATTTAGGGTATGTTAGATTAATTCTTTTTTATATTTATTTTTTTTTACACCGATATTAACATTTTTTCTTCGATATTTTAGACTTCGAAACTTGCAAAGGAAATTGAGCACACCAAAATCGAATTAGATGTCAATGTTCTGACGCAAGGATTTTGGCCTACTTATCCACCTTCACCCGCAAATATACCGCCTTACGTAAGCTCATTTATATTTTAATGTCTACATAATATGTGTATGGTGGTTTTTATTTTTCATTCATTTTTCTTAGGTGGACCATTGCCAAAAAGTATTTCAAGAGTTTTACCTTACGAAATACGCTGGTCGCAATCTCAAATGGCAGAACTCCCTAGGAATGGCAATATTGTCCGCACATTTTCCTAAAGTATGATGTTAACTTATTCTATGTTTGTCGCAGAATAAAAATAAACATGAGATACTTATATTACACCTGAATTTAATAGAAAAAAAAGGAATTAATGGTGAGCTGTTTCCAAGCTGTGGTCTTATTGTTGTTTAATGATTTGCCGCTGGGCGAGAAACTTTCTTACCATGAAATCAAGGAATTAACGTCTATTGGCACGTATGCTGAATTGTTCTTATTTTTCCCTATTCATGTTACTAATTTCTCGTTTGAATTACAGAAACAAAGGAGCTTGAGCGTACACTTCAATCTCTTGCCTGTGGCAAAGCTAAAGTTATTAACAAGCATCCAATAGGACGTGACATTAGCACCACGGATGAATTTTACTTTAACGAAGATTTTGAACATAAATTGACTAGAATTAAGATAAATTCCATTCAATTAAAAGAAACGGTATTTTATTAATTTCTTATATGCGCTTAGTTTACTCGATGACTTTAGGATTATTTGATACCAATAATGTTTAATTATTCATCAAATTAGTCGGAAGAAAATTTGATGACAACAGAACGAGTATTTCTTGACCGGCAATACCAAGTAGACGCTGCTCTTGTCCGTATAATGAAGATGAGGAAGAAACTTGGCCATAATCAACTTATCTCGGAGCTAATTAAACAATTGAAATTCAAATCTCATGCAAGCATCTTTTCTTTTTTATATATTTCGATTTGGTTTGAACCACTTTATATTATTAACTTATTAACTGGATTTTATTTTTCTGACAATATAGGTAGCAGACATCAAAAAGCGAATCGAGTCATTAATTGATCGCGAGTATTTAGAAAGAGACAAAGAAGATTCAACCAAATTAATTTACTTGGCATAATAATAATTATATAATCTTGCCTGTTAAAGACCTTAAAAACTAAGAGTCCTTTATAATTAATTTAAATCAAAAAATCTGATTCAAGTTTAATTCAAATTTCAAATCTTTCTTAGTTTGAAGTGACGAAAAATATGTAACTGTTATTAATGCCAAAACGCATACATAATTAATTCCATTGATTTTAAGTTATACGTAATTCATTATCACAAAAAGTTCGGAGCTTAGCTTGCACATCGATCCTGTTTGGCTTTTAAGTCACGTGATTGGAACATTTGTATTTTTATTTGAGGAGGAAATCAGTAGAAACATGTAGTGTAGAAACTCTTAAATCAACAATATGTTTCAATTTCAAAATTCTATTACTCAATATAGAAACAAAATTTTCAAAATCTAACTGATAACTTTATTTTTTATATCAAGTTCTACAAAGTTACCAGTTAAATTTTGAAAATTTTGCCTTTATGTTGAGTAATAGCATTTTAAAATTGAAATATATTGTCGATTTAAGAGTTTCTGTACCATATCAAATCGAGTGAATTACAATTTAATTTTGTTGTTTGTCAAAATTCCAGTCCAATAAGAATATAGAACATTTTAATATAATATAATTGAGTATTTTAATCTAATATGATTAAAAATAATTATATTGTTATTATTTTATACTATTTAAATATAAACTATGATTTAAATTAGATGAAAAAGATAATATATATTTGTTTTTTTACAATTTATAATTTTTTATTTCTTATTATTAAGTTTTTATTAATTTAATTATATTAAATATAATTTTACATACAAAAAATTAAAAATAGTTAATTAATAACTTTTTATTTAATATTTTTATTAAATTAACAATTTTGTTAAGATAATAAAATATTTATTAAGTTAAATATATAATCATTAATATAATTATAAAATTGTATATACAATTCCATAATTATATTAGTTACTGTAAATAAAAATTGCTAAAACTATTATTCATTTTTGTTTTTTTTTTAATTTCAATAAAATTATATAACTGTATATGCAAATTCATAATTTTATTGAAATTTAAAAAACAAAAATTCAAAAACTTGTTAAAATTAAAAATTTTAAAATTCAATTTAATTTTGATTTTGTTTAAAAATGATTTAATCAAAAATATTTATTATAAATATTTTAATTAATTATTCTCTATATGAAAAAAATTATAACTATATAAAGAATTTTTTTATTATATTCTTAAGTAATTGATCAAAATGGTGTGATTATACAAAGATTTTACTAAATTTGTAATGTGACTATATAAAGAATTGATTATATAAAATTGGATAATTCCAATATAAGATTTGCCAATTTCCAATGAATCTCTTGTTAATAAATATAAAATTATTTGGTTATAATTCAAATACAAAAATTATTAATTTAGCAATTCAACGGAGATCTTTGTGATCTTGATCTTTGTAACTAGTTTAAGCTGTTAAACTGTTCAATTAATCAATTAATTATACCTTGATATAACGATATGATCAGGATAATTAGTACAAATATCGGTATCGGTATATCGAGTTTGACTGTATATGGGGCGTGCTGCAACAAAACCAGACAAAGTAAACATGTGACGTCACTCGAATATCAACATTCCACAGTAATGGAAACGCTCTTATTCCTTAAAAAATTACATTATATAAAATTCAAATCTTTGATCTGCGGACAGGGAGCTGCTAAATGGTGATTTAACGTGAAATGCCACAGCCAAATGCATAATTTGAGATGTCTGATGTTAACACCATGTCATCAAAAGTAAGTTTTAGACGATCGAGTACCTTGTTCCGATCAGTATGATCGTTAACATGCTTTACAAGTTTGAGTTTTAGTCAAAGACGAAACCATGATTATTTTGTGAAAACGCTTTTATCGAATTTGTACAAAGATCGATCTTTCAGTCGAGGGATTCTCTTTGTCCTGTTCAATCATAACTTGAAAAACACAAGACAAACCACATCCACTGCTTTGATGCTTAGCCACTTTATTTCAAATCAAAGCTCAAAACCAATAACATCACTGCGTTTTTTCTTTGTAGGCGTTCCTGTTACAGTCCCAAAATATCCCCCCACAGAATCATCTTTATTATCTTTTCTCTTTTTTCTCCGGCGTGCCTGAGCGTTTGCCAATGCAACACTGTTGGTATGGTCACAAATGGATTTTAGGGTAACCTGAAATTGGATGAATGTTAGAAACTGTACTGTGCTGTAGTAGCAAAAAAAGATAACGCACATACATGATTTACCTTGACGTCCGAAATTGCAGTGTACAACTCCTCTAAACAAGAAATCGTGCAAATTGTGTTCTGTAATTTTATTCTGCGAAGTCTTCCGAATCGACAGATTTTCGTCCCCTTGCAATCCATCCCATAAATATCTTGTGTCCATCCTTAGTGAAGAAAACGTTAGATACCAAGAACATTGATCTGTAACTCGTTAATATCAACTATATACTTACCCCAGGATTGTATTCCAAGAACAAATGTTTGGTGCAATTTTTCATCTGTAGCATTGGGATTTGCAACAAAAAATGTGTACAGTATATCTCGCATTGCTACCATTAAGTCTGTGCGGTCTTCAAAAATTTTTTTCCGGTGCACTGTGGGGAGACCGCCGCTCCTGAGCCCGATGATAGCTTCAAGCTTGTCAATATTATTCTTTAGAGTCCCCCTGAAGTCACACCTTTGTCCAATTCGAGCCCGTAGCACCACCGAACGACCTTCGTTTCTGCGTTGGGCAGAAGCCCAGCAGCATATTTCACCCCTAAATAAAATGTGGCGAAAATTTAGAATATAAATATGTGGGAATAGTCGAACATATCCATTTCATTTTTTTTGCGTTGCAAACTTACACATCCATTTTTAGCTCCTTTTTGTCCAAAAATCTCCTCGCGAGCATGTTGGTAAACAAGTTATCGAATGTCATTTCCGACATTGGTAAATCTATGTCGGCGAGGTTCTCGGCACTGGAACACATTGCCAGCCGTTAGCACGGAGTAATATTGGGAAATGAAGAAGGTACTTACTATGTTAAAAGAGCACGCTTGACTGCGATAAACTCGTCTTCATCATCTCTTGATAATTTTGAGGCTTCCCTTTGAATTGATTCCACTGAAATACGATCGATTTCGCCTACGTTGCCTTTCCCGCTATTAACAATCTGTAAATGGCTAAGTCAATAAATAGAAGCTTCTTTCCAATATGTAATACGTAATACGATGAATTTTGACTATCTCGTTAACTGTGTCGAAAAGATGATAAACAATATCAGGTGCGATGGTTTCGGAAAGCTTTACCTCTTTGTTGAAGTTGTCCACCATTTCTTTCCAATCGGCAGCCGTAAAGAGGCTCTTGGTTTCGACGTGTTCACTAGTAAGATCTAGAATTCCCCAGTAGATGGGACTGCAAAATGCAAGGTCACTGTGATCAATAAAGTTTTCGCCGCATACGCATCAAAAGATATCACGAAAATGACCAACTTTAAGCACTTTTGGGTCTCTGGTATGGTTTGAGCATACTGCTTTAGCACCGCTGCAACGTCTGTACCGCTGGACAAGATCCATTGCTTTTGATGATCTAAAGTATCTTGAGTATCTTGTTCCACTCTTTCCACATAGTCCCCATTTGCATTGTTGTTGGCATTCTCGTCACGATCCAGATTTTCTTCGTCATTACCTTGACCTTCCTTCTCGTCCTCAGGGGCGTTATTCGAGGTTCCACTTGAAGCTATAGCAAGGCTGTCTTCCGCTTTCTACAAAAGTATAACACAGTTTCAATTTGAACCGAAGGAGTTATATATCCATCCCATTAACGTCGACATTTTTTTTTACTGACCTCTTCCATGCCGTTATCTTCTGCCTCCTCCTCACTATCATCCTCCTCTTTTCTTTCTGCTATCTCATTAACGTTGACATTTTCCTCATTGTCTGTGTTATGTGCATCTTATTATAAAACATTATGTAAGCATAAATTGCATACTAAATTTACTCTACTGTAATAAATGACTTACCTTCTTCTCTACAAGTGAGAAAAATTTCTTCTGTATTTTTATATTTGTATCATGATTCTTTTGACGGAACTTAATCTGTAGGGCACGTACATAAATATCAACAATTACAAATTTATAGCAAAACATGCAATAAACAAACATACCGCTTTCTTCTCTTCTATCCACTGTTCCCAGTCCCATTGAATCGTTTCTTCCTAATTTAATAACGAAATTTTATTAGCCCTACTACATAAAATTCAATTGATGAGTTCCTCGAACACGTACATACACCAATTTTCATCCTTTCTAGCTCTGTCTTTCTTCCTACATCTTGACTTTGATTCAGCGCGGTCTTGAAGGCATTCCGGTACTTACAAGTGGCTGATCCTCGGTGTGTAGGATGGATCATACGGAAAAACTCCGAGGGTGTTGGATTCGGGAACTTAAGATCCAATCCACATCTATTTGCCGACAACTCTCGCGGGGAATATTGGGATTTTTTCCTAGGCATTACTTGGCAAACGTTAAACCAAAGCATATTATTAGTATAGTATTTTCCAATAAATTAATCGGCTTCGACATAAATGGCTGTCTTTCACTCAAGGCCGGCCACCACTCCACGGTGACTCGCCATTGTTGGCTTCCGACAGATCACAGCCTGCCGCAGTCGCCTTTCGTGATCAACAAGCCTCGGCGAACTCCTGTGCAATGAAGTGAGCCGGCCACCACTCCACGGTGACTCGCCATTGTTGGCTTCCGACAGATCACAGCCTGCCGCAGTCGCTTCCTTCACGCTTAACAGAAGTACCGTAATGATTAAAGCAGAGGGGATCTTTCTGAGCCCACCTGATAGTATGATAGTAGACTGTCGCGTTTTTGTTGTGAAAATTAGAACTTTGTTGTGAATGATTTGAAGTCACACAACACCGCAAGGTCACGTGTATGCGAACTTCAGAAACTCCCTAATGACGTCACGCGTGCTTTTACAAAAAATTTTGGTGAGAAGCCTCCATATCTTCTTTTAACTAAATGGGTCAAGGTTCTCTCTAGCCCGGCCTGCGTCTGTCGGTTGATGAGAGAATTCAGAAGAGAATAGCCCGGCACTGTGTCTATCGGTTGGTCTTTTCTTCTGCTACTTATCCCTCCACTTATCCCTCCACCCGGAACGTACAATTAAGGTAGGTGTTATGCAGGATTTATTGAAGAAGTAATACAGGTGCTTGGCTGGCTAAACGCTTTTTCATACAGAACTTATGTGTTCAGTACATCTTCATAGAACAAACGAGGAACGCCAACAAATTGCCTAATGAATCTGCATTGTAGTGTGAATTTGCAAGTACATTTAAGTAAATTCTCTTAGTGGCGCATCCAACTTTCGGATACCGAATTTGATCGAGGTCAAAGAGCGCAATGATAATGGTAACCGTCGTCAGCGCTTGGATATACTTGTCCGATCACACCCAACCTGCCTACGGTTTCGAGCAGCAAAGACTGAATTCGATAAACATTGTGAACGCTCCAAAGAATACATGAAACTCCACTGTTGTGGTATCCCAGTCCATACTGAAGGATTATTATGGAGAACGGTGTCACCCGGATGTGACCCCGGTGAATGTGGTTATTGAGAATCAGAATAATGGAGAATGGAAGGCAGAGATGAGATATGAGGCCCATGACATTAGCAAGACTTCCAAATGGGAAATATAATTGATTTCCAATATTCACATAGGACTATCCCTATGTAAAATATCAATATGAAATTAATTTACATCAGATCCACTATGGAACCTAAAAACTACAGCACCATCAGAAGCATTTTGAAACAAGAACAAGGTGAGAAAATTTCTTAAAATATCAATATGAAATTAATTTACATCAGATCCACTATAGAACCTAAAAACTACAGCACCATCAGAAGCATTTTGAAACAAGAACAATGTGAGAAAATTTCTCCTTACGTTTTTAAAATAGCTGATACAAAAGCTATAAAAGAATATTTAGATAAAGAAAGAAATACTTATGAAATTTATCAAAAATTAAATATTAGTCTTGGAGATAATACTTCTGGACGAAGTCAGCAGGAATTAAATTTTAAGAAGCGAGAATTACCAGAAACTTCCCAAGAGCCTAGGAAAAAAAGAAAAACCTCCGAAGAGTAGAATATTATATAGGAGTATTCCTATGTATTCTTTAATATGCTGTGTAGAAGAAATTTAACAAAATCGGACAAACTGCGTAAAATATATATATGATAGACGACATAATTATGAACGAATACGAAAAAGCTCTTCATTTCCCGGAGGCGGGATGTGGTTGCGGTTGCTCGACTAAGATGCCCAAAGAAGAATTTGCTGAATTGCGAGAAGACTTTCAAGCGCTTTCCAAACCCGAACAAGACATTTTCTTAATGGCCCAACTCAGATCCATGGATGGAGAAGCGACAAGTACTAGTCGGCGTCTTATGAACAAGACTCGGGTCAATAAGAGAACTGTCTACTGCTGAAATCGTAGCACTCCGATTTGCCAAAAAACTTACCTCAATATGCTTGGCATTGGCCGCAATTATTTTGAAAACATTCGAAATCATTTGCTAAAGAATGGTCTTCTACCGCGGGTCCATGATAATGTAAAAAGAATGCCACGGTGAAAAACTAGGGATGGTCATCAATATTGACGTGGCTACCGCAGTCAAGAATTTTTTGCTAAATTATGCCGAAGTTCACGGCTTACCTAGCCCAGTAAGAAATGTTAATCGAGTCACCCTATCAATTATCTTTCTACCGGCAGAAATGAGCTACAGGTCTGTTCACCGGGATTTTTTAGCTGACCTGGAGGATAATAGTAAATTGCGTAACCTCAAGTATGATGCATTCCGCAAATTATGGCGCCAGTTAACCCCGTATATTCAAATCATGAGTCCGAGGACCGATTTATGCGATACTTGCCAGCATTTGCGAAATGACTTACAGCTCAAAGCTCGTAAAGAGGAAGAGGCCCAAGATCTATTAAAGAGATATAAAGAGCATCTAATCAAAGCCAAACTGGAGAGAAATTATTATAACAAAAATACCAAGTTGGCAGAAGAACAAAGAAAACTCGTACTGACAAATGCTAAGACTCAATATTGCAGCGTTGATGCTACCGCTCATTACAGTTACGACTGAGCTCAAAATGTCCATGTTCCTCATTCCGATCAGCAAATTGGCAAAGTGTATTATCTTAGTGCTCGGAAGGTGCATTTGTTTGGTATCCAAGATGAAGCAGTGCGTGAGCAAATTAATTATGTTCTTGACGAGAACGAACTGCCTTGGGAAAGGTCCGAATGGTACGCTTAGCTTAGTCTTCGATGGAATTAAGCAATTAAATAAAGGCGAAAAACATTTAAAAATCACTTGTGACAATGCGGGCGGACAAAACAAAAACAATACCACTCTTTGATTTTATTTGTACCTGGTAATCTCTGGTTACTATGAAAGCATTGAATTAAACTTCATGGTTCCCGGCCATACCAAATTCAAATTCAAATGTGATGGTAGCTTCGGACTGATCAAAAGGCTTTATCGTATTAACGAGGCTCTTTCCCCGAATAAGGATAACATTATTGCTGAACGAAGCAAAGTAATTGCTAAATTACGTAATGATAAATATCCTGGCTACGTAACTATCCTTACGAAAGCAACATAGATCAAGAAACATGATTTCAAATAGGTGAAATTATCAAAGAATTAATGAAAAAGTATGAAACTAAAATAAATTCTCATAATTTTTTTATTGGCTGTAATTTGGGGCAAGCAACTAAGCTCGTAGATCAAGAAAAAGGAGAAACTTCACCAAACAAAGACCGTGACCTATGTTTTACTTTCTTTCCTAAATACAAAATGGAAAGGTGATGGCTTCCAGATGAAGGTAGGCCTGTTCGAGTTGGCACTATGGAAAACGAACGAATAGCCGAAAAACTCCGTGACCCCGAAGGATACGCCAAAATCTGAGGCAAGAATAAAATTGAAGAAAAAAGCAATTCAAGTCAAATATCTCCTTTATGACTAATTCCAGCCATCTTGGCTACGGCCGGGATAACAGCAATGGTATGCTGGATGCTAAAGAAGAAGCCAGCAAAAAGACACCTTTAAACTCACCGCTACAATTGCTTGATGTTCACTTTGTCTGGTTTTGTTGCAGCACGCCCATATAATAAAAATAGCACCTGATGTCTTGCTACAGATCACAAGTTTAAAAGTAGTTTTTGAATCGGGGATTTTTTACTGGTTAAAAGAAATAACTTCATTGTCTCACTTTTTAATCGACAAATAGGGATAATCTGCATGGTTGTGTAACGATCGGTGTTGTCGGATACTGATGTTGAATAAAATAACCAATTAGTAATAATAAACAGTTCGATTTCTAGGAACAAATAGTTTCCACTTTGTTTTTTTTCCTCCATCGCTGTTGCTTTGGGGACACTTTTAATAAATCTCTTTACTTTTCACTGCAAGCAAAAACTTTTTGTTGTTGTCTTTTAGCTAGTTCAGTTCATAATTGCCCATCATGAATGGGTACTTGTTTGCGTACTCTTCCGCGCCGCTGCGGCGAGTGAAATATGTACAGTTTGGAGTGTTGTCTCCGGATGAAATCGTATCCTTCATTTTGTTGTTTTCAAGCATGGAATGAAATCTTTGTTGTGCTAAGCAAAATTTCAGATTTGTTGTGTGGTAGTCTTTGTCATATGAAGGAGAAGATGGTGGATGAACAGCCATTTGGGCATTGGCAGACGATCTATCCATGCATGCACGAAAAAATAACAAATTAGCTATAACTTCACTAAAAAGACGAAACATAGACATCCTTGACTTTTGTTTGCTGCCCCCACCAAATAGAAAAACATGTCGGTTGCTTTGATCGAACACCCAGAAACGATGGATGAGAGTGGCCACAAGCCAAAAATCGGCGGTTTACTCGATCCTCGTATGGGAACCATCGATCGAAATTTCAAGTGCCAAACTTGCGGTGAAGGGATGGCTGAATGCCCAGGACATTTCGGCCATATTGAGTTAGCAAAGCCCGTCTTTCATGTTGGTACTGTATCTCTCCTACTACTAAATCTCTATCATCATACAGATATTGAATGTTTGCTGTTAACATTTATTATTATGATAATGAGAATAATAATAATGATAATGGTTATTGGCCGTCAACTTGTGATATGCACTACGCACTTGTTCTCGGCTTTTACATATATAAACAACTAAAAATGAATCGAATTGCTAATGCTTTTTTTTGATTGCTTCTATTCACACAATCATCATCGTATATCGTCGTCTAATTATTTGAATGGTTGCACTTTAAACGTTTCTACTACAGGTTTTCTTCCTAAAGTGAAGAAGATTTTGGAGTGCATCTGCGTGCATTGCTCAAAGCTCAAAACAGATGACGTGAGTTTTACTTTATGCTTTGTGAAATCAAAAACGAAATTTTTGAGTTTGTTATTGTTTTGTTCAAGTTCCGAATCTCAAAACTTTATGTACATCTCATTATTATTATTATTATTATTATTATTATTATTATCATTATTATTATTATTATTATTCTTACCACAAACACAAAAAAATAAAAACGTTTCAATACGAACGAAACGAACCATTTATCAAATTATTACGATTATTTCTCATGAGTGATTTACATTTTTGTCATACGACTATTATATATATTGTTTTTGGATTATAGTCAAATTCAAAATTTGTCCAAGCTCGCAGGATTCGTGATCCCAAGCGCCGTCTCCGTGCAATATGGGAGATATGCAAGGGAAAGATGAACTGTGAACAGAATGAAGATACTGAGAATGATAATGAGGATAACAAAATAATATCTGAATTCTCGGACGTAGTTGTCAAAAACGAACAATCCCAACAACAACAAATCGAAGCGAGTTTTGGTTTGAACAGGAAAAAAGCGCATGGCGGATGTGGGGGAAAACAACCGACTATCCGGAGAGATGGTTTGAAGTTGATTGCTAATTATAAAAACACGAGTGGAAAGGACAATGACGTAAGTTAAAGATAAATTCAAATCCATTTCTGATTTTATCCGAAAATGTTCGGTTAAACAATATATATTTATTTTTTTAGGCTGCCCAAGATATGACACCAGAGAAAAAAGCTCTTGCTCCACTTGATGTCTACAATATATTCAAAAATATCAGTGAACAAGATCTCCTCGATATGGGATTGAGTGTTGAATTCGCTCGGCCCGATTGGATGATTATAACGGTACTTCCGGTGCCGCCGCCGCCTGTTCGTCCCAGTATTCAAATGGACGGAACTAGTCGTGGTGAAGACGATTTAACACACAAGTTATCTGACATTCTTAAAGCTAATCAGAATTTGCGAAGGTGCGAATCGGAAGGTCAACCGAAACACGTGATTGATGAATTCGAATCTTTATTGCAGGTTAGTTTTGTGAATTGATTAATAAATGTAATTTGGATTAAAAGTATTAATATTGGATGTTCACGGCTTATTTTTTTATTATTTTTATACAGTTCCATTGTGCTACGTATATGGATAATGATATGGCAGGTCAGCCTCAAGCCTTGCAAAAATCAGGAAGACCACTCAAATCCATTCGTGCAAGATTAAAGGGAAAAGAAGGTCGTCTTCGAGGTAATTTGATGGGAAAACGTGTAGATTTCTCAGCACGTACCGTTATTACAGGTGACCCAAACATCTCGGTTGACGAAGTCGGAGTGCCACGAAGCATTGCGCGAAATTTGACGTTTCCGGAATTGGTCACACCTTATAATATTGAACATTTGCAAGATCTTGTACGCAATGGACCAAATGAACATCCCGGTGCCAAATACGTTATAAGAGATACGGGCGAGCGAATTGATCTAAAACATCATAAACGGGCAGGAGAAGTACGTTTGCAATTAGGCTGGAAAGTCGAAAGACACTTGAACGACGGTGACGTCGTCATATTCAATCGTCAACCATCACTACACAAAATGTCAATGATGGGTCATAAAGTTCGCGTGATGCCATTTTCCACTTTCCGTCTTAATCTTTCAGTTACAAGTCCTTACAATGCTGATTTTGATGGAGATGAAATGAATATGCATGTGCCTCAATCTGTAGAAACCAAAGCCGAAGTGCAAGAAATTTGCATGGTTCCAAAACAAATCGTATCACCGCAATCCAACAAACCCGTAATGGGAATCGTACAGGACACTCTTTGTGCCATTCGAAAATTCACAAAACGTGATTGTTTCCTATCAAAAGATTTAGTAATGAACATTTTAATGTGGGTACCCGATTGGGATGGACGTATCCCGCGTCCTTGCATACTGAAACCTGTTCCGATGTGGACGGGCAAACAGATTCTCAGTATGATTATTCCAAAGGGTATTAATTGTCACGGTTTCCACGCCGGACATCCTGAAAAAGAGCCACCGGGCAATTCACCTGGTGATACTCAAGTATTGATTGAAGATGGACAGGTGCTTTGTGGTATTATATGTAAGAAGACGGTTGGTACTTCGCCTCAGGGTCTTATTCACGTTATTATGAATGAATTGGGTCCCGAGGCAGCAAAGAAATTTTTGAATGGTTGTCAAACAATAGTCAATTACTGGCTATTGCAACACGGTTTCAGTATTGGTATTGGCGATACAATTGCAGATAAAGAGACAATGGACACGATTACTTCCACAATCGGTGCAGCAAAGTCTCGTGTACAAGAAATCATATTAAAAGCACAACAAGACAATCTAAAATGTGAACCAGGAATGACAATTCGAGAATCTTTTGAGCATCATGTCAACAAAGAACTCAATACTGCACGTGACTCAGCTGGACGTAGCGCGGAGAAAAGTTTACGCGAAGAAAATAATGTAAAACAGATGGTGGTTGCCGGTTCAAAAGGGTCTTTTATTAATATCTCGCAGATGACTGCTTGTGTGGGTCAACAGAACGTCGAAGGTAAACGTATCCCATTTGGCTTTAAATTCCGTACTCTGCCACACTTTACCAAAGATGATCATAGCCCTGAGAGTCGTGGATTTGTTGAAAACTCTTATTTGAGAGGATTGACTCCGACAGAATTCTTCTTCCATGCTATGGGTGGTCGAGAAGGTAAATTATTTTTTTTATCTGAATACCTGTATAGAATTCGATAGGATTAAAAAGTGAATGCTAAATATATTTAATTGGTTATTATTTCCTAGGTTTGATTGATACTGCTGTCAAAACAGCCGAAACTGGTTATATTCAACGTCGATTAGTTAAGGCGTTAGAGGATGTAATGGTTAAATACGATGGAACTGTACGTAATTCACTGGGTGATGTTATTCAATTTTGCTATGGAGAAGATGGTATGGACGGATGTTTTGTTGAGAAACAAACTCTCGATTCACTGAATCTAAATGATAACGAATTCGAGAGAAAATATCTCGTCGACTTGACAAATCCTGCCTACACATTCACTTCCGGCTCGCTAGCTCCTAAACTCGAAAACCTTTTACAACAAGAAAGCGAAGCCCGAACCCTACAAAACTTCTTCCAAAAAGAATGGATTCAATTACAAGAAGACCGAAGAATGTTGCGTGATTTCATCTTCCCTCACGGCGACAATAAATGGCCATTGCCGGTGAACATCAAACGTCTCATAAAAAATGCTCAACAGATGTTTAGTTATGATATTAAAGAGGGAAGTGATCTACATCCGATTATCATGTTGAATAGTATGCAAGGACTACTTGATCAGTTACATGTTGTTAATGGTGACGATAAGATCAGCCAGGAGGCACAATACAATTCGACATTGTTGTTCAAGATTTTATTACGCTCTGTTCTTTCATGTCGTCGTGTGATTGAAGAATATCATCTTAATTCGAAGGCGTTCAAATGGTTGGTCGGTGAAATTCAACACAGATTCCAAAATTCATTGGTTGCACCTGGTGAAATGGTTGGCACTATTGCCGCTCAATCAATCGGTGAACCAGCCACTCAAATGACACTAAACACCTTCCATTACGCTGGTGTATCGAGTAAAAATGTGACACTTGGTGTACCTCGTTTGAAGGAAATCATTAACGTAGCAAAGAACATTAAAACACCATCAATTCACGTATACCTGAATGGAAGATACGCCAAAGACATGGAACTCGCAAAAGAAATTCAAAGTGCTATCGAATACACGACACTCAAAACAGTCACACAATGCACAGAAATTTGGTATGATCCTGATATTCAGACATCGATAATCGAAGAAGATCGAGAATTTGTGGAACTTTATTATCAAATGGAAGACGACGACACGACTGTAAATAATTACACGCAATCGCCGTGGGTTCTTCGATTTGAACTTGGTCATAGTGTAATGCTTGACAAAAAACTTCCTATGGACATGGTTGGCAATAAAATTCAAGATCATTTTCGGCGTGATATTCACGCAATATGGAATGACGATAATAACGAAAAGAAAATTATTCGGTGTCGTATTCTCAATGAAATGTCCAAAGAAAATGTTGACGAAGATGGTGGCACTCATTCCACTACTGAAGAAGATGTATTTCTCAAACGGCTCGAGAATAACATGCTTGGCACTATCGGTCTTCGTGGTATTAAGGGCATAAATCGTGTGTACTTAATCCAAACAAAAAAGACTCAAGTATCTGTGAATAACCAAGGACAAATCGTCAAAGAGGACGAGTGGACACTAGAGACTGATGGCACTAATCTGCAACAGGTGTTGTGTGTTGAACATGTAGATCATAAACGCACCTATTCGAACAATTGTGTTGAAATTATGCAAGTTTTGGGAATTGAAGCGACTCGTGCAGCTCTCTTGAGAGAGCTTCGAGGGGTTATTGAATTTGATGGTTCATATGTTAATTATCGTCATTTGGCACTTTTGTGTGACGTGATGACGTCTCGAGGTCATTTAATGGCTATCACTCGTCACGGAATAAATCGCGCAGAAACTGGTGCTTTAATGAGATGTTCATTCGAAGAGACTGTGGAAATTTTAATGGATGCCGCGGCCGCTGGTGAGATTGATGATTGCCGAGGTGTCGCCGAAAATATCATGTTGGGACAAGTTGCACCTTTGGGAACCGGAGAATTCGACATTTATCTCGATGATGAGATGCTAAAGACTGTTGCCCCTCCGCCAGACGGACAAAGCAAATTACCAGAGGTGAATATGAGCATGGATTATCGTCGTTCAGGTGCAATGACTCCAGGACGCATGACTCCCGGAAACATGACCCCCTACAAAGCGGGAGGTCAATCACCCTTCGCGCCTGAATCTCCACAATGGATTGGCAATAACCGATCACCAAAATATATAGATTTCTCAAGACCAGGCACACCTGTATTCTCACCAATAGCCGAGGACTCGCGAACTCCTGCAATGACTTCAATGACCGATCCAGGCAGTTCGCATGGATACAGTCCATTCAATAATACTGCATCTAGTCCATTTAATCCCAATGAATATTCTCCTACTTCACCTACATCATTCTCGCCTGCCAGTCCTGCTTATAGTCCTACTAGCCCAAGCTATTCTCCCACGAGTCCCTCTGCATCATATTCAGGTGCTGCGGGTGGTGTCCTAATGAATGGAGCTGGACTGAGTGCCGGTGGCAGCAGTGCTCTTGTACGAGGTGGCCTTGGTCGCAATGGCGTGCTTCGTCCTTCTGCTACCACACCATTAAATAATTACGCGGTAACCAGTCCAACTTATTCACCTACAAGTCCCTCATACTCTCCAACATCACCAAGTTATTCGCCTACCTCGCCCAGCTATTCACCCACATCACCAAGTTATTCACCCACATCACCAAGTTACTCGCCTACCTCGCCGAGCTATTCTCCTACCTCACCGAGTTATTCGCCAACCAGTCCTTCATATTCACCAACAAGCCCTTCATATTCACCTACCTCACCAAGTTATTCTCCCACAAGTCCATCTTATTCTCCTTCGAGTCCTGCTTATAGTCCTACATCGCCACAGTATTCACCTACTTCTCCATCTTATTCGTAAGTCGCTTTTTTTTTATTAATCGTTTGTTTGTTTTATTAACTAATGATGTGTCTTTTTCTACTAATAATTTCGATAATAGACCAACATCTCCTACATACAATCCAACATCTCCTTCATAAATCAAAAGGAAAAACATTCAATGGTCACACATTATAATCAAAAAATCTTATTAATAAAATTATTCATCATTTAGTATAATAAAATATACCGCGGCTTGCCGCTTTAATTTAAATCTTGTGCACGTGAAAGTGATATTAGTTATTTTTAACCGGTTGTGTCTTAAACCTAATATTGTGACGTAATATCACGTGATATCTTATAAATAGCTAATGAAAAGATATCCTCATTTTATTGTTTTGTGCCATCAACAGATCAAAAATTTGTTAATTTTTTGATTAACCTAGCAGAAAATGTAAAAAAATACGAGAAATAGATGTCTAAAGCTAATTTGGTACACTAATAAAAATGTCGAAAAGATACAATAACCTTTATTAAAGTAGAATTTTTCCGGATACACAAATATCACGTGATCCAACCATTTTTCAAATTGAGTTAATTATAATAGTACAGTCAAACCTCTATAGTCACATCCATTTATAGTCACACCACTCTATAGTCACCCTATTTTTGCTTTTCCATTTATATATAAACATTGTAAAAAAAAAACCCTTCTATAATCACATTCTCACTATAGTCACCAAATTTTGCTTTTCCAAGAGTGGTGACTATAAAGGGGTTTGACTGTATTATATTAATTCATTACCACTATCCCAAATGCTCATTTTTTTCTCTTTTGAACCAATTAAATATAGAACAAATAATAGCCAGAAATAAAAATGAATTTAAAATCTATTAAGACCAGACTTTTATTACATTCTTGAAAGTTTAAACATTAATTAATTGATTAATCATCGATCTCTGCAATCTCCTCTCCCATCCCAAACCGTCGTAAACAGATGTTACTCCCGTACTCTAAATATTCGCGCCGCGTTACCAATTTCTCGCGGTATTCTGATGTACGGGCGAATTTTGAGCCGCCGTGCCATGCGTAGGATATTGGACTGTATTCGATAAATAAGATCATATAATTGGTTAGTATAAAATGCGTACTAACATTCTCACGATGAAATTCCGTTCACTTACTCTTCGGGCATCCCAACACGTACATCGTACATCGAAGGAGCCAACACACGAAGATCTTTTTCACTATTTATGTTGCCATTCCCGTAATTAAACTTAAAATTAATAGTTTACGAACTAAAAAAAAACCAACCAATCACTTACACTCTCTCTTTATACCCTGCAAACATGCTATTTCCGCCCACCAACACAATATTAGAATAAAATAACCCGTGAAGATCTGGTGGGTATTTTCAGTATTATGTGAGAAAGTATTTCCATTTCATTTTAATTTGCAAGTCATCAATTAGTCTTTTACCTGGATGAGTAGCATTTATAGCTTCAACGATAACTTCTGGAATGCCTGCCTGGCTCATACCTATTGCGAAATAAAAAATGAAACTAAGAATTTTTTCACATACAAAATAAAAAAAAGCAGAAACAATATCAATACCAATATCAGATGGATTGAACAATAGCTCTGGGACAGAAAATCGTTCATTGTTCATGAATAAGGCTTGTTCTTCTGGTAGGATTATGTTTGTTGTTGATGACGACGAAGAGGACGCTGCGGCGAAATTTATGGCATTACTTTCACGCGATTTCTTGAACTATTAAATTTTTTTCTCGGAATGAGCATCACAAATTTATAGATGAAAAAAACTTGAATATTATTACCCGGATGAACCCTTTCTTGTTCCTTGAAAAATCGGGTAACACGTATTCTCGAAGTATTGGATTATCTCTCATGTTTTTCCTAAAGATATCCAAATATATTTAAAAAATGTTACCATATATAATGTTTTTATCAAAAGTTATGATGTTCTTAAAAGTATACTTTACCTACAAGTTTCAAGATCTCCAAGAAAATCTTGTGAGACATAACAACACGTTTCTTTAACTTCGTTCATTACGTATGTTTGATCCATCATATCCCAATATCTGCAGGTAAATAAACAAAGCATTAAAAATATCAAAAATAAAAAAACTTTATACCGCAAAAAAATAATACCTAAAAGACACTATTTCTTTGAGATGATTTGTCAATAGTTTGCCGCCAATGTTTATTCTTCATTATTAAAAAAAACAATGGAATAATTAGTATATCAATGAGATATTAATAATAACTATAAATGATGGATTTCGCATAATAGAAGGGTATGAATGAGCTTAACAAATACCTTCGAATAGCAGGGAAAATAGGTCTCCCCATTACAAATGGTACTATGTGCGTGAACGAATATCCAGAATCGACGACTAGAACGCAATCCGGCTGGTCGGTTTGTTCTTCATAGAGAGGGCCTTCGTATAAGCTACCGGTATCATTTTGAATACAGAACCATGGTGCTATTCGATTATATAAAAAATTTAGTTTATTAAATGTGACAAATAAATTCTCTATTAGAAGTTTATTGCTCACCGATTACACGACACGCAGATTTGAATTCGTAGACCTCAAAAATCATTTCATCGTATGTCTTTTGAATATTTGGTAAATTGAAGCAAGGTTCTGTAACAAGCAAGCTCGTGGAAAGAGGATCACACTAAATAATATTTTATCCAAAATAACAAATAATATATATATATATATCAAGGTGAAAAAATCGCGCCTTTAATTCTTAGGTTACAAAGCTGCCGCCTGACCTTACCTTTAACACTTCTGCCGAAAAGATTCGATCCCAAATAGCTTTTTCGACTTCCCAGTTTGTCAGGAATCCCTGAAAAAACCAAAATTGCAAAGCGTCACATTATCATCACAACATCAGACTTATTCAATTAATTCTTTTTTAACTATATATATTTATTTTCAAAAAATTAACTAAAAATCTTAGTTTAATTACTATTTATAGATAGAGATTATTGAAAAGAGCAGCAAACTTTTTCAAATGGGAGCCTATACTGAACGCCGGAAAAATCTTCACAGAAAGATAGCTGGTCTGCAATGAAGTTTTTTCTGTCGCCTTTTGAACGAGTCAGTTTGCAATTTGGAAAGAGTCTGTTCGAGTAGTAAAGGGAAATGCGTTAGACGTAAAGGGAGCTATGAACAAACTTATAGTAAGTTAAGGATATTTACTGTAAAGTTTCGGGTAGACCAGCGTAACCGACTTTGATTGTGCTAGCGCCATTATCGAGAATTAGAACATTGGTTTCGACCATAGGTGAAAATGTTCCTTAACGTTAAGAGAAAAACTACGCGAAACTTTGTTGGTATCGAAACGCACTCGTGTGTCAAAAATTTCAGATTGACTAAGGGATCGACACGCTCAAGTTGTTATACCATACTAAATTGGATATCTTTCTCTTGCTAACTATATATTACAGCACCATGAATTTTTTATTAATATATAAAATTTAACAATATTCTAGACAGCTTTGTTTCTTCACATTACCTCACGTGTTATGAACCCGGAATCAATGCAACAACTAAAACTAGTCTTAATGATGTTATTTATTAATAACTTTGACTATGTTCCAGATAATGACTATGACGTGGAATATATTGAAAGTCTTGTATCAGAAAGTATCGAAGCAGAAAGCATTATAAACAATACACTAGACTTTAACATAGAAGTTAAACCTTTTCTCTTTGATAAAACTAGATTCGAGAAAGCATGAGCTTTAGCAAAAGCAGACAGAATTATATATATTATATATTCCCTGTAAAAAAAATGTATTTATATAAAAAATCCAGTTTTACTTTAGTAAAAATTTGTTTTTATTGCTGGAATAAAAATGATTTTTAAAAATTTGATATAGATACATTTTTTTTACTGGATAAAAAATGGATTTATATAAAAAATCCATTTTTAATTAATTAAGAATAGCATTGTTATTTTGATTTTCTGGATTTTTCTAATTATTAATTATATTTTTCATAAAATTGATCTATTATAAATCATGTAATCTCAATAAATACATCTTTTTCTATTATCAAAATAGGCTATCACTATTATTAATAGATTTTTGTTATCTACTTAGTGTAAGAACAATTCTAAAGCAATATAATACTAATATTCTTTAACAATCTGGTTAAGTGTTCAATATAGCACAATAAATATTATTATTATAATGTTATTATTATTTAGTTAATTTTTATATACACACCTATATTATATTACCAGAAATTGAAAAAAAACATAGTAAAATTGACATTGTTTCTTTATATTAAAATTTATTATTTTATTAATAAATATTTTTTATTTTTATATTAAAATAAAGATGATAACCTATTTCTTTATATTAAAATTTATTATTTTATTTTTATATTAAAATAAAGATGATAACCTATTTCTTTATATTAAAATTTATTATTTTATTAATAAATATTTTTTATTTTTATATTAAAATAAAGATAATAATCTATATTTTTAATATATATTTTTTTAGAATATTTTAAAATTTTATAGAATTTTCTGTTCACTTGTAAACATAGAAAAAAATTTTTTTATAATTAAAATTGAAAAAATTATAATTTTAATAATAAAAAAATTTTTTTCTATATTTACAAGTGAATAGAAAATTCTAAAATATTCTAAAAGAATATATATTAAAAATATAGATTATTATCTTTATTTTAATATAAAAATAAAAAATATTTATTAATAA